AATAAATTATAAAATACCGAAACTCTGTGTTCGACTTTAATATTGTATTAGTAGCGTATCCTATCCTTAACTATGTTCAGTATAAGTATACCTATATACCTGACGTTAATTGAACCGCATATTATGTTAATTATTATTATATCAATATTAAATTACAATATATTATTTATAACGTGTACTATTGTCGTTGGAAATTTGGTATTAACAAACGCTTGAGTGTGCAATTTTCGTATTAGAGGGCATATTTTTTTCCTCAATAAATGTTGTCAGCAGAAATCACACATTATTATCGGTTTTGTAGTGGGTGGTCGTAATCGGGTTCAGCTAAATTTTATTGTGCACACTTGCTGTGTGACCTCCCACCAACATGTAGGAAAACTTGGCAATACAGAATGAAGTTCATAGTGTACTGATTATAGATTGTCCGAGGTCGTGGACCTTTCGGTCTTCGTTATGAATAATGCACAGAAAAAAAAATTGAATTATCAGTTTTCAACGTTATTCCTTTTTTATTTATAGCTAATACTTTTTTTGCTTAATTGTATTTTTTTTTTATTTAGATAACTATATTATAAAGAAATCGATGCATTTGAAGATTATCAAATCAATAAATATATTAATTTCCCTCGAAAACCCATTGAAAACCAACGTTGACAGTTGAAGTTCACAATTGAAAATTTAATTCTTAAGTTCCATGCCTAGATTTACACATCGAATCAGTTGAAAATATAAGATTACTTCTCCACTCGAATCCATTAATCGCAAGCCAGCACACAGCCACTATTCCGGACAAGCCCCCCCCCCCTCGTTTTCTTAAAAGACATTGGTGTCGTGATCTTCTAAATTGCAATATAATGCCACTGTTTGATTTTTGGCAGATTCTAGCTAAATTGATATTTTTGTAGTTACAATTAATAACAATTTAACAGTTTAATGGTTTTTGTAATTGGTTTTTAACAATGTACCCTTATAGCTCGTATACCAGAATGGGTTGATAATAATTATTAGGTTTCTAAAGTAGGTATTATGCATATAGGCCAAACTGCCAAGGTTGGTTTTTAGTCTGACCTAATGCCCGAGTTTTTCTTTTTCATTATAACACTTAGGGCAGGAATAAATTACCGTCAGCGACATTAAGATATTTATAAACAACACCACAAATATCTTAGTTATAGTACTCCAATCCAAACATATAATACAAACAATAGTCAATACGTTTAAGGTATTTTTAACAGTAAAAAAAAAGAAAATGAATGGTAGTTTGGTTTTAGGAGATACCAACTTAATTTTAAAAATTCGCTGTTTCCAAGTGTGGATTCCACCCCTGATTTTATTGCATTTTCTGCGAGGGCTGCTTCAAAGGAGTGTGTTAAGCTGTTATAGCAACCCTCTCGTTTCTTTTTTTTTTTTTGAACAAATTAGAGTCCATATTATTAACTAGCCGTTGTCTTTTCGTTTGACGATGTACATTCGAAGTCTGATGTGAGTAATTATTTCAATTATTTTGGAGTAAATCTGTATTTTATTTCTTAAGAGTTTTTTAAACATATAAATTTAGCACAGAGCCATATGGGAACTTTAATAAACTTTAGAGCTATCGATAGTATGTGATTATTTGGTTGGTACCAATACTGTGTAAAAAATAAAAAAGGTTTAGTGGTTGCTACGTGCAAAAGTCATTTACCTAAATTAAACTTATCTAACCTACCGGGTCTACCTTTAAAACAGGTATTTTGTTCTTTACTAGCATTTAGACGGCGCTACCTATGTGTTGGATGGTAATTCCGACTGGTATTTCCGATGGAAATTATTTAATTAGTTATCGATTTGTTAATTGCACAGCGCATAAGTGCTTAATGGATGATTATTATAGCACCGGTAAAATATATCGATGGCATATTATTTCTGTTAACAATCTAAACAAGTGATTGCTGAATGCCACACAACGTTGTTGCCACCTAATCAAATATATATATATTAACTATTTAAATAATAATAATTATTGTATAGGCTAGTGTACACGCGTTTGCTCGAGAAAACAAGTCTCGTTAACCAGTGCAATACTTGTACTGCACCTTTCCTGTATAACAATATACAGAGTGATTTGTTAACTATGACCCTGACGATATAATAATATTATAAAAGATATTAGATTTTTTTTCATTATTCGTACATTCAATATTAGTCTAAATATTAGCTAGCCCAAATTTGATATATAATCTCATTCCAATGCGTTAAAACCTTTATGAACTTAAAATGTTTAAATAGTAACGTCTTATACATGAATAATTCACTTTTTTGATTAATTATAATTTGCTGAACATTTCGACTGGTCGATAACCAATTTTGGATGATTACTTTTAAAGTTATTAAAGTATACAAGTAATTTACTTATTATCCAAAACTGATTGTCGACCAGTCGATATTTTCAACAAATTATTAAACATTTTAAATGACAATTAAAAGTCGATATGGCTCTGGCAAAAATAAACATACAAATTTGAATATTATAAAATAACAAAGTTAAGTGTCTCCAAAAAGAAATGCTACAAAATTACAATAATTTTAAGAGAAAATGTACGGCGTTATTCTCAATAAGTCACTCTGTATAGGTACATTTTAGTTTTGCCAGTGGTCGGTTTTTATGTAACGCGGATGTATTTGCACTTGTTCGGCAACCGCACTGTAGTTATAATATGCTTGTCGATATTTTTTTATTATTATTATTATTAGTAGTATTAGTATAACAGAATACAGACCACGTGCCAATGACACGACTCTAAATATTGTTGTCGAATAACTAAAAATCGATTGTTTTTATCTCTATTTTTTAATCATCCACAAACCAAGGAGGATGGTTGGGTGAGTGTTTTTTTTTGGTAATTAGGCCTTTTTGCATTTAGAGGGTCAGGGTTTTTTCTCGGAATTTCCCATACATTACAAATTTGTTCAACGTTTTGGCGTTGAAAATGTTTTAGTCATAAATACTAACGTCTTTTAAAAAAATATAACATTATAAATCAATTATAAACAAAATGTATCAACTTAACCTAACCTAACCGATTTCAACATTTTTTTTTTTGTTATAAAGTTTACTGTCTTCTCTATGATGATTAATAGGACGATTTTTTTTATTTTGGTATTACAATGTTATTATAAGTGTTTATATTTTTACTTTTTTATAGTTGTTTCATAAATAATATTCGTTTTTAGTAGATAAATTAAAAGTCGGTCTTTTAGCCCCGTAGAGAAAATAGTAAGACTCACATAAAAAATAATGGAAATCCGTCCAATAGATATGCCAGAAAACGATTTTTACAATTGTCATTTTTTATGAAACTTTCGCCATTATTTGGAGAAAATAACTTTTAGCGTTTTATAACTATAAAAACTTAATATTTTCTCACCTAAAATGCGGTAAGCATAATAAAAATGGCAAATATTGCCTATCATTTGCTCATTGAATAGTCGAAACGATTGCCCTTAGTCAGAGTTATGCAAATTGATATTCGAATAATTATTTCACAGTTTGTTCAAATAATTTTTCCACGATTCATTCGAGTAAAACATTTTTTTCCTTTATAATATGCTGTACATTTTGTAATATATAATATTGTACTTATACGACATAATGTTTTCAAAAAATCACTTACAAACTGTTTAAATAAAATGTTTTTGAAATTTATTTCAATAACTTTTACTTGAATTTATAATGTGTTGTCTAGACACGATTATTTAGATAACGTTTTTATTCGAACGATTGTAATTTTTGTTTCCGGACGTTTAGACGGCACGACTTTTACACGGAAGTTTCCATCGAACGGGGCAGCTGTTGTCCAACGACCTTTGAGCCCGGTAATAATTTATTATTGCCGTTATCCAAACACGCGCATCTGGTGCACGCGAACACCCGTCGATCGGGGACGAGGAATTTTTTCTCTTATATTTTTATGTAACCGACACACTCACACACACAATCACTTCAGCTGATGTCGACGGAGGGTAAGTTTTTCTTCAGACTACCTAAACGTAGTACGTCGCCACACGCAAACATACACAATACGACGTGTAGGTACATCAGGCCTATTATTATTGTTATCATCGCGACGATCAAGGGTGGGTTAAGAACGATTTTATTATATTATCGTCCGGCGAAGGAGAGAGAGAAAAAAAAAACTTTGGGTCGTACCCGAGTACTTTTGGGCGTGTTTTTTTTGGGGGGGGGGGGGGGTTAAATAATTTTTACGCCGTCGATACGGACACGTGTGCGAGTTTTTATGTATTTTAGCATAACTGCAAAGACATTACATGTTTAATATAATAGAAAAATACAATATTGAGTTGATACAAATTATACCAACTGATTAATGCTCTTTTACCTAGTATTCGAAGTTCGTATCATAATTAATCAGGTTATATATTCTAAATAGTATACCGAATTGTGTACAAACAAAAACTTAACAAGTGTAATATTTAAGATGGTAATAATTTTAGTTGCATTATACAGATACCAATCAAATAACCAACACTATTGTAATAGAGGTCGAGATAAAATTCGAGATTTTCATATTTTATCTGTAAAAACATTTTCATCTAGGTCATTAACCATCTTACTAATAGCTCTTTTTAAATTAAGTTCATTTATAGTTACATCATTGGTAAAAACAGCAAATCTCACAATATTTTTTTATTACAATCCTAACATTAGATATTATTCAAATTGTTAAATATTACTTTAGGGATGTATCCTGGCGAACATGTAGCGCTTGCTAGAGAAATTTGAAATAATTTCGGAAAAAAAAGTTATTTAATAACTTCAAAAACCTAATTGTTCGGTTAGTCGCCGTTGGCGGTCATTGATCGAAGACCCGGTGGAATGAGTTTCTAAGGGGTAAATAATTTTAAAAAAAAGGGAGGGGGTTTAAATTTTTTTATCCCTTTTATTGGGAGCGGAGGGTTTTTTTTGTCGTGTTATGTTATTATGAGTATTTTTGGCTCACCTGTACAGACTTCGAGTGATCTCTGGTAACGAGACACAGTTTCTTGACGTACGTTCTTCATTCAAAAAAAACGATTCGGTCGGGACGCGCGTTATCAGTGTCCCAGGAGGAAACGGGACGGAAAAGCGGCGGCGGGACGGACACGGCAACGGACACTACTAATAATGACGATAATTACTATTATGGGTTATCTATTTGGGTACGGGCTAAACGCGGGGCGCGCGGCGGCCGTAGAGGGCGGCCGGTTGAGCAGAGTGGAGTCGCGGTGCCGTCGGTGGTGTTGTCGGGACGACTGAGCAAGAGAGAGGTGCTGGCCGCCGCCGCCGCCGTCGGTGTCTGGACCGCGGTAGACGGGACCCCTCTATATGGGGTTACGCACGCCGCTCGCTCAATGGTGGCCAAAATGCGTGCCGACGCGACCGCGCATCTTTTTGTTGTGTATTAATAACAAAAAAAAAGAAATCGTAAGATTTTCAGCTAAAGTTAGAAGACTAGTTAGAAGCTATAGCTCTTAAACGCAGAAGGGTGGTAATGTTTTTAGACTTTGTTAAATAAACCGAGTGAACAAGTAATTGAATGGATCATTTAGCGGGTCGAGCAAAAAGTCTCACGACTTTTCCGAGTTAACGAGTAAATAAATAAATTAAACGACTATTTAAATCGAATGAATCGAGTAAATAAATTGAGCGTTTATCGTGACTCGAAAAATCTCGCATGTTTTCGAGTAAAAGAGAAAACAGACCGAATAAATTAGTTAAGTAGAATATTGAGGAAAAGAGTGAAAAATCAAATATCGAGTAAACAATTAGAGTAAACGTGAAATAAAATCGTGTAAATAAGTAAATAAATCGAATAAACGAGTAAGCAAATTGAGATAACAAGTCTAGTAAACCAGTAAAAAAATTGAATGCATTAATCAAGTTATTTAATAAATAAATCGAGTATTTAGCGTGACGCGCACGCCAAAATTTTCTCGATATTTTCAAATAAACGAGTAAATGAATCGAGTAAACGTGTAAAGGAATTAGTTTGATACAAAAAATGCCGCAAGAAATCTTTTTGGTTTACCTCTAGCCTAAGAATATTTTTTCATGTGAATAATAATCATGTAGGTAGGTTTTATATTCGTTGGGCGGTTAACCTGTTCCCTTCAGGTTTTACCCCTGCGGAGGATAGGGGAATAGGAAAACTAGTATGACAATTAAAAAAAAAGAAAAACGATTATTGAAATCCAGATTTGACAATATAATAGTAGTAATATATATTATGTTAATAACAATCGATCAGGAACAGAAAACGTTTCCAAGCCAATATTTGATTTATTTGGACTGCAATTAGCGTTAATTAAAACATAGTGAAATATTATGGTATATTGTACTTGAAATACGATTAATAAATATTAACTTATCTCATATTAAGATTACTTAATATGTTTTCAATTGCCGTTATCAATGTAGTATAGTTAAGACGAACTGTCTTCATACGAACGCAAAACATGCCTACAAGATAATATGACGCAATTTCTGCTAAGGATTAAGGAAACTTCTAGAAAACTATATGGAAAGGTCGGAAATTTTTTTTCAACACAGAACACTCGATAAACGTATTATTAACATTGGTAATACAGCTATACACGCACGCATTAAGTATCGATAATATTTGAATACTTGATACCCGGATCAATAATGGTGTGACACAGTTAAAGAATAAAATAAAAAATTGTATTGTCTCCGAACATGTATAGCCTTTATAAGTAATCAGTAATATATTATAATAATATTATTTTAAATAAAATACATTAAGTAAGGGGTAACCGGTTAAATGTTTGAGATTAATCATTAATATACTAATGTAATTATTTAATTAATCGAAACTTGATACATTTTTTTTTGTATCTGATTATTATTGATGACCGTCATAAAAATGCCTCTTTAAAAAAAGGGAGAGGGGTATAAATAGCATTCATGTTGGTAAAAATTGCAATGTACAGTATTGAACACTTATTAATTTTTTAGGGTGGTCGATTTAGCCCAACCTAATATGTTAACAAACTTCCTAAATTATAAAAAAAAACTAGCAGATAAATATTATTATTTTATTTTATTTTAGCTTCGTTGTTATTATTTGTGTTTTTTACATAATACGATTAGTTAGTGTTAGAGTACAATAATGTGATATAATATGTGTAGTGGTTTACATAAATAAATAACAATATACTAATTATTTTAGTGATAATTGTTCTACATTTTGTTATTTTTACCTAGTAAATAGTTGGTAATATTAAGAATATACTAATTACTAATATATAATAAGCTATTAAAAATCAGTATTCTAAAAACAACATTTGCGCCGTTACTCTATATGGTAATTTTCTATGATAGATACTGATAGTAGTGATGGGAATCGGAAAATCCGGATTTTCACAAAAAAACGCTATTTAAGCTACTTAAAAATCATATAAGTGTTAATTTTACAATATAAAGCTCTATATCTAAGTAACATTTTTTTGATAAATATGTGAAAATAAAACAAAACACCAAAGAGATAAACTGCTTTTGAATTTCGGATTTGTTGAAATCCGAAAATCCGGAATCCGAAATCTGAAAGCATTTTATAGACAAAGTTCAGAGTTTTTTTTAAAAATTTTTATCAACAAATTTTACTTAGGTACACATCTTTATATTGTAATAGTATTTAACAATTATATGATTTTCAAATGACTTGAAAAGCGTTTTTTTGAAAAATCCGGATTTTCGGATTCCCATCACTAACTGATAGCTTTATGATTTATGTATAGTCCTAATAACAATTATTAAATATTTGTTACTCGAATTTTTATAGTTTGTTATTATGTGATTTATACGTATTAAAACATATTAAAAACTTATTTTAAGTGTATAAAAACGTCTTGGGCATTTCGGTAATTGATGATTTTTGCAAAAATTTACCTTGACTCAAATTTTACGCATTTTCAAAGTATCTAAAAAATTCTTGATCCTCGATGCATATACCCTCAACAAATGTAGACCTAACAAGTACCTGAGTTATACGTATTCAGAATAGGCTGAAATAAAAATTAGCATAATCCAAAAAAAAAAAAGGGAAAATGTAAGTTGGAAACACTGTCTTGTAGGACTTTTGACGGAAAATCCGAATGAGTTTGATTCAAAACACACCAGAACAGGCTAGACATGGAATATATAAACTTAAATGTTGATGGCAGATTCAAGTTAACATTTTTAATTATCCAGAAAAACCCAACCCTAGTTTTTTGTGTTTTTGAAAAATGTGATTTTGGACCATATGACTTTTGATTTTAGCCTATTTCATTTAGGTTTTATTTTATTTATTTATTTCAGCATAACTGCAAAAACATTACATATTTAATATACCAACTGAAAACCAACTGAGCAATGCTCGTATCTGGTATTTGGAGTTCTAATTAAAGTAAATTAGGTTATATATTCTGAATTGTTTACCGACTTGTGTACAAACAAAAAACTTATCAAGTGTAATATTTAAGATGGTAATAATAATTGTAGCTGCATTATACAGATACGGGCGATACCAGCACCATTGTAACGCAGGTCTTTATTTTTTAATGTAATTCGAGATTTAAATATTTTATCTGTACAAACATTCTCATCTATGTCATCAATTAATGTCTAACTAATACCTCTCTTTACATAAAGTTTATTTCTAGTTAAACCATTAGTAAAAGCAACAAAAGTGTCACAATATCTTTTTATTACAACCTCTACATCGTTATTCTAATTGTTAAATAACATGTTTGGGATACATCCAGGAGCTGAATTTGTAGGGCTTTCTAGTAAAATAATTGTAGAAGGTCTTATGAATAATTATGTTCTCCTATCTATATATATATATATATATATATATATATATATATATATTATGTATACATAACCTATCTCCGAATTTATCTTTGGCTCTTCCTGTTGGCCACGTTTCGACGCACGAGTAAGTATGCCATTTTTTCGTACCATATTTTTTGAATTTTTTTTTTTTAACGAATATGTGGTGTGCGTTCTATTCTTTTTAATACCCAGTTTCTCCTGTTCGGTAGGCGCGCTCGCGCGGGTTGAACGACCTGATGTCGAGACAAACCCCCGGTGAACTCCTGTGACACCGACCTCTGTGTGTGCGTTATTGTCTATTTATTTATTTTTTTTTTTTACTATAGTAAAATACTACAACACGTGTGTGGGCTCTCCACGTTGTGTTTCATTCACGGACAACACTCCCAGACCGACCGTTCCGGGTCGACCGCGATCGAGGTCCTTGGAACACACAACAATACTGATTTAAATGTTCCAAAATCGCATATATAACGAAAAGAACCGTATACTAATATCGCGGCAAAAAGTTGTTTAAATAAAATCTTTCCCTAATTTTAGCTGGAGTTCCTCAAGGATTCATACCTCTCCTACTATTTTTAATATCTTTTCTGCCAATCAGCCTTTTACTCCAAATACAATATCTGTAGTAGGGTTTGCAGATGATGAAGCTACATTTTTTTATAATACAGACCGCTAGGTATAGACAATAACTGTATACGGATCCGTCTCGATCTTTTGGTAATCAAACGATGAGTAAAAATAAAGACTGAAAAATCCTCACATTTTGTATTTAGGTACCCTTCGTAAAAACCATTTAACAATTTCCCTGAATCAAAAGTCAAAATATCGACCGAAACTCATCTAGCGCGTGACACCTCTGAATACATCTAGATCAGAGACTTATCTGGGCTCTTCATTGTAAAATGTAATTGTTAAAAAAGAGTCATCGCCGGGTGATTTCTTTTGTCGCTGTTGTAAAAATGGTATTGTAATGTTGTATTTAATCGCATTTATGCTATTTGTTATTTAATTTACAGTTTGTATATTTTCTTTGAATAAAAAAAATTCCGAATAGGGTGACGGCTGTCCGTCTTTGCCGACCCCTGGTTCCAGTGTAGCACGCGCCGATCAATTATTATTAGCGCATCGTCCTCGTCAGTCGTTGTAGGTAGCGACTAATTGTTATAAAATATATTATGTAGGTACCATTTAACAGTAGTTATAGTAGTAGTATCAGCTGTCAAAAAAACAATAATAGTCAATAGTCAACATAATACCAGGCGATCCATATAAAACGACGCGAGACGCACAATTTTGCGGTTTTTCTTTTTTTCGATAATATTTTTCTCAACGTTATTGTTTAGGGCCATTAGTGAAATATGACTACATTTTTAAAATCATTATTTCTTATACTGTTTAGT